TTTATAGTGTCAAAAAAAAATTGAAAAAAAATTAATTGTGAAATCCGAAAGTGTGTGTGCATATACGCTTAATGTTAGTTATTTTTATTTTATTCTTTATGCATTAAAGTAACGTCGATTCAAAATTTAACTACCCGAATCAGCAGCTGTTTATTTAATGGCAATTAAATGAAAAAAAAAACAAAACTAAAAGTTCACATGAGTGATAGTGAGGCAGGTCAGTACTGCAGATCAGCGCATTCTTTGCGGGTTCATTGACCTCCGCATTTTAAGTTATTGTCATATGTTCTCTCAAAGGCATATTAGTATAAGAGTAAAAGTTAGTATAAGACGAAAGTAAATTGACATGCGATAACTGTCGAGCAAAAGCTCTGTACTAAGATTGATATGTATGTATGTATCACATTATATCAATTTAACTTCGGCTTACAAACGAGATAAGAAACAAAAGCAATAGTAATGATAAATACAGACTTACGTACAGACTCCAGCGAGGTGTTGTCGTTGTTTTATGTACAGATTAATTCAATGCACATACATTTATATGCAAATGCATCTTCATTTGGTGTGTTATTATATGGATGGGTTAATTTAGGGTTTATTAAATGTTATTTAAATTTGTCTTATTTATCTCGAGGCATATTTTTTTCGGGTTTATTTTCTTTTGCTATTATGATATATATTTGTACACATGCCTTTTCGAGAGTTTATTTCGGTTTAAGCTTTTATGCACTGATCTTGGGCACGAAAAAACAATAGCAAAAAAATTACACAGACTTAAATGCACATGTCTACATATAAGTATATGCACGATATTGGGTTTTAAGGCATTTCCCTTTCTATGCACTGTACACACTCTTCAATTTTTAAACTGTGATTTTCAAACTTAGACACTATATAGGCTCTTTTTGTGAGCAGTAGCACATTTTATGTAGTTAACGCTGAGGTGGTGGTGGCGGCAATGGGTTCTACGGCAGAGGGAAGTCGGCGGTGGTCAGGTTGGGCTAATGACGTTTCGACACCCAGAGCACCCGCATGTTCGCAAGCTCCTTTTTGGAAGACGGACTTGTAGCATACGGCAATTCACTTTGCCGGTTGGAACCAAATGTTTCGTCCAAGTGTAAACAACGAAATAACCCTTATGTCGAAGTTATTTGATTCGGCTGCACCCAATACAGCAGCGACAAGGTATTAGTCGCAAATCTAGTGACGGATGCGCACCGATTACTTGGCAGCACCCTTAATAGGCAGTTGCCCACAGGCGGAAAATGCCATGAAGATTAGGGGTCTTCAAATCGTTTCCAGCCACACGGATTTACACTCGATGAAGGTCCAGGTTAACGTGGACAAAATCTTTGGGTTCGAGAGTGTCACGCCGTTTTCCTTTTGGGCCAGTGAATATCACCCAAAACACGTGTTAGGCATAGCTGACGGACGTGGCTACTTTGTAGAACTTGGCCCTCCAAAAGTTAATGAACAAAAGAGGTCGGTTTTAGCAAGATCAGGCCTTTTATAACACCTAATTCCAGGGAACTACTGAAGTGCGTAAAGTTAGATGCGCTTTACATTCCAACCAAAACCCAGAGTTGTACTAACTAAAGCTTTCAGAGTAATACAGCTGATAGTGGCCTGAAGCTTTGGGACAAATATACTTTGTATCGCAAGTGCTAATTTTGTAGCACCGAGCTGCGATAAAAGCAAAATTAATTTAATTTTAATGCAGGCGACCATTACACCACACGATAATATGACAATCATGATTGGAAGATTAGCGAGAATAAGCTTCGAATATCTTTTGCATGATAAGTTCCAATATCCCGACCTTGAAAATCTTCTAGTTGGTAGAAGCAATTTCCAAGTTTCTTACCTATTCGGCACTTTATGAACTGTGGTCCTAACTTCGCATTGAAATTTTTTGAAAACTTACTAAAGACAAAGTTTCTGCGGAACACTTCTTGTCCTTCTTTAAACGAAATGATGCATAGTCTATACGCATCAAGTGAAGATCACCTAGAGCAAGATCACTCGCTCCGCCAGAAGGCTTAGAAATAAACACACGCTTGAATTTCCAAAGATGATCTCAATTTATTTTCGGCAAATGCCGGGTTTTTATACAATTTTCACTTACGATCTACATTAAAATTAGGTTCTACAATTGTCTTATCAGCTATTGCTTATTCATTCTTAATATAATGCTATCTTTTACAAGTATTTATCAATGCTATGTGTGCATATGCGCACCCTTCTTATCGTCTAGTTGTCCTGCTGCTATTGGTCGACCTCTATTTCCCCTTTTCCTCACTATCTAGTCGTTGAGCGTCCTATATCTACATGCGACTGTGACATTTGTTGAGGTTACCTGCAGTGCGCATGTGTGCGTGCGGCCCAAAACGTTGTATGTTTGTTCCTTCGTATTTTAAGTGGACTGTATATTTTTAGATTGTTTATGACTGCCACATGTGCGCGCAGGCTTGGTCTAATTTCCTTGGGATTGAGTCTCACTATCAGCTCATATTTTTGAGTGTGGCAACAGTACTATTCATAAAACTATGTTCACTATTGAACATTTTGCGGCGGGCTATAATTCCCAGAAGGTGCTGTTCATCATGCATTGAGTTTTGGTTTAACTTATCCCCATGTGACCTAACTCTATCTGCTCGGCTGGTTTGATTGATGGTACATTAAAATCTACTTTAATCGCTCGAGATCTAGAACAACATTTCTTTTTGATGAGATATATTGTTGCTATTGCAATCCCTATCCCTATTAGAATTAGTGACCTGTGTCCACTGATTTGGTGATAACTCAATCTCCTCAATTCGATGTTTTCATTTTTGTATTTTTCCACTATTTGTTTCAATATAGTAATGTCTCGAGTATTATTTATTGTAATGGAAGCTAAAGGTCTGACTTCGTCCATCTCAACCCAGTCGACGACCTTTGTGATTGGAGACATTTCCCTGTGCAATTCGCTCTGAGACGTGATTTCATGGCCTGCTATCATTAAATGAGTTCCATAACGAGCTGTACAACCTTGGTTGAGTTTAAGAATACCCTGTTGTGGTATGTGTAAAGGCAAACTTTGATGTGAACCACAAATTAATTCTCATGCGCTTTTGTCGAAGGTCTTAAATAGCCATGTGTTCGAATTTGCTAACTCAATCCAAACGTTTTCTTTCAATGTTTGCGCGAACTCACAAAACGGATCCTTAGTTTGTTTAAATGCTGATATCTCACATGAGTTGTCATTAGCCGACCTCCACGCTCAATTTCCCTTACATAACAGTCGATTGTTTAACTGATGGGAGCATTTATTCAGTTGTGTAGCCTTAAACAGTACGTGAAAATTTATATTATTTTATATAAATTATTAAAAACAAAGAAAGAATGGGACGCTTGCTTTTAAATTGTTAATGCGGAAAATGCGAACGATTTGGCGACAATTGTGCTTATATTTAGTTCTCTTTTACAACTGACTTCAAATTAGGCTTACATGTTAAACTAAGCCTAAGGCGGCGAAAAGAGGGCGCGAGGCGACGTCCGCAAACGGCCGCTCTCGCGCTCTCTTTTCGCCCTAAACTAAAATTCAAATAATTCTCTTAAACTATCTTAATCTAAAGCAGCATCTGCGCCAACACCGGCCCCCTTGGAGGGACATCGTCCTTCAACGGGCAATGGCGCCAGCCGATGAATAGCCCTCCGTAGATTGCTACTACTCGTGGCGACGTCGGCCACCCGCACCTTCCCGTCTGTCCCGGCGTGAGTTGTGGTGACCCTGCCAAGTATCCACTTTTGTGGCGGCACGTTGTCTTCGGCCACCACGACGAGTTGTCCCACGACGACGTTGGGTTCCTCCTGGAACCACTTCGCTCGCACCTGGAGGCTCGAAATGTACTCCCGGGACCATCGCTGCCAAAACCTGTGCTTGAGACACGAGGCATTGCGCCATCGCCTTAAGCAGGTTTGGCTGTCGATATCCGGGAGCGGTGGAGCTGGAGTCGCCAGAAGAGGCCGCCCGATCAGAAAGTGGCCCGGGGTTAGCGCCTCGCCGTCGCTGGGGTCCGCGCTGAGTGGTCCCAGTGGCCGAGAGTTCAGCACGGCCTCGACGCTCGCCAGGAGTGTTCCGAGCTCTTCTGCGGTCAGGAGCGCATTGCCCACCGTCCGTAGGAACAGGTGCTTTGCAGACTTGACACCTGCCTCCCATAGACCGCCGAAGTGAGGCGCTCTGGGTGGTATGTACGCAAACTCGCATCCTTTTCTTGATGCGAATTCGCGTACGCCTTTCGCCTCCTTCTCCCATCTTGCTCGGAACTCCTGCAGCTTCCTGTCGGCTCCCACGAAGTTCGTTGCGTTGTCGCAGTAAACTTTGCCAGGGACGCCTCTCCTGCCGACGAACCTTTCAAAAGCCAAGAGAAAAGCATCAGTGGTTAGATCTGACACAAGCTCTAAGTGAACCGCTTTCGAGGCAAAACAAACGAAAAGAGCCACGTACGACTTGTACGGTGGCTTGCCACGGATGCGGAGCGTTGTGCTTATAGGGCCACAAAAATCAACACCACATACTTCGAACGGGTGGAACGGCTGGAGCCTGTCTGCCGGAAGATTTCCCATTACTTGGGAGGCCAACCGGGGCTTCCATTTGAAGCAGAGGATGCACGAACGTACTGTTCGGCGACACACTTCCTGAGCGTTAACCAGCCAAACTCGCTCACGAAGCAGGCTCACCAGCGATCTAGGGCCAGCATGGCAATTTGACACATGCAAATAAGATACGTACGATCTTATGAATTGCGACTTTTTAGAAAGCAACAACGGAAACTTGGCTTCGTACGGGATAGGAGCATTTAAAATTCTCCCCCTAATCTCAGCAAGGAAAACAAGAAACCGTCTTCTCCAAACTCATGTAGAAATGGACTCAGACGCTGTAAGTTGGCGTTAAGTGTTCTCTTTTTTCGAACCTTGTCGATTTCGTCACCGAACTCATTGTTCTGGATGACTTGAACAATTTTGTTGAATACCAAATTGAGTTCGCTTGGCTTGGCTATAGGATCAAAGGGCTTCAAGACCTTTCTGCACCTTTGTATAAATCGAAAAACCCAAACGAACACCCTCAGCAATTTTGAATGTGACGAGTAGCTTTCGATAACTTCGAGAATATAATTGGCTTGCCGATCTGCGAGTAAAACTACAGCAGACTTAAGAATTTCTAGGGCAGCTGAATTTTTAGGCGGCTCGAAGTGAGCATTCACAGGCCAATTTTCTTCCGATTCCATGAGGAAGGGTGGCCCTGTAAACCAAATGGAGCTACGCAACTCGTCTACATTACATCCTCTGGACACGATGTCTGCTGGGTTGGATTTCGTTGGGACATGTCGCCACGTTGCATTCTCGGACCACTCTTGGATTTGAGAAACCCTGTTTGAAACGAAAACTGACCATGCCGACGGATGCGACTTGATCCAGTGGAGCGTTATTTCCGAGTCAGTCCACATAACTATCTTGTCTATTGGAGAATTAAGCAACGGGCGGACTTGACGAAAAAGATCTGCGAGAAGGTGAGCTGCACACAGCTCAAGACGAGGCAAAGTTTTCGTCTTGAGTGGAGCTACTTTGGATTTTGATGTCAAAAGTGACACTTTCCAACCATTCGCAGTCGAAACACGAACATAAATACAGGCGCCATAAGCTCGCATTGAGGCATCGGCGAACGCATGTATTTGAATGGGTGACTGCGTATCTGTATGGACGAATCTAGGGACTTGAATACCGCTGAGGTTCAACAAATTCTGCTTAAATGAGTCCCAAACTGTATGAAGATTCTCAGGGATGGATTCGTCCCAATCTAGTTTTTGTAGCCACAAATCTTGCAGCAACATTTTTGCTTTGGTGATCAGCGGGCAAAGAAGGCCCAGAGGATCGAAAAGCCTGGCAGTCACCGATAATATGTTCCGTTTTGTCGAGCGGAGATCTAGGAAGGAATTTTCTAACTGGAACTAAAATACATCTTCCTTCGGCAACCACATATCGCCGAGCGTTTTGGTTGGGTCTGAGTCGACTGTGGCTACTGGAATAACTGTGCTATCAAATGCGGACAGTTCCGCGCAGTTCGAAAACCACTTTGCCAATTCGAAGCCTGCACTTTGAAGAACGTGCGACACTTCTGCTCGAAGCTTTTTTAGCTGTTCAACGCTTTCAGCACCAGTTAACATATCGTCGACATAAAAGTCGCTCCGAATAACTTCAGCAGCTGTTGGATGTGAGGAACGGACCATTTCACTCAGCCTTGTTAAACACCGCACCGCCAAGAACGGAGCTGGCGACGTGCCATATGTTATAGTGTTTAACCTGAAGATTTTCAAAGACTCAGACGGATCTCTTCGCCACACTATGAGCTGATAGTTTCTATCTGCTTCGTGCACCATCACCTGACGGTACATTTTTTTTAATGTCTGCCGCTAAGGCGAACTTTCGCAAACGAAAACGAAGCAGCGTAGAATAAAGCTCCTCCTGAATTGTTGGACCGACCATTAAAGTACCATTCAACGCAATCTGAGTGGACGTGCGGCAAGAGGCATCGAAAACGACACGCAACTTGGTCGACGTGCTTTGAGGCCGCAGAACACTCTGATGCGGAATAAAATAGTGTGGAGTGTCTTGAATTTTGTTGTCCGTTGAGGACATGTGACCGAGCGAAACATACTCGTCCATAAATTCCAGATACATGCTTTTCATTTGAGGGTCTTTTGACAACCTCCTTTCAAGCGACAAAAAACGACGTTTCGCAATTTCATACGATGAGCCAAGATTTTTTGGGTCAGATTTAAAAGGTAACCGTACCTGAAATCGACCAGACGACAAGATTTTTGTATTATCAACAAAGTGTTGTTCACAAAGCTGTTGCTCAGGTGAGAGAACTTTCGAATTATTAGGCAAGTCCTCAATGGACCAAAACTTTTGTATCGTTGAGTCTATCGAAAGTAATTGTT